GACTGATATAAATACAGATATGTAAGAGATTATCATCTCCCCATGCGTGCTACATGATCCGTTCATCTCATCTTTCTTGATTGTACCATCCTAATAATATTTGGTAAAGAACACCGATTATGAAATGTACAATTTTATTCATTCTCCTTGCCACTTGAGGTCTCTTAGGCCCAAATATTCTTTCCAGCACCGTTTTCTCAGACACCCTCAGCGTCTTAACGCGACAGACCGGGTTTCACACCCACACAAAAAGATAGGCAAAGCGTAGTTTGTAATATTTGATGTTCGTGTTTCCATACAGCAGACCATACGATAAAATAACCTGAATTGAACAACAACAAAGATTCGCATAATCTCAAGGGCCCTCAATTTCATAAGTAACGCAGTTCTGATTTGTTACCGCAGTCGCTAATATGTCCGAACTTCGCCACATTCAGAAAGGATTCATATAAATACGTTAATTAAAATTATTTTTTAAACGCTGACTTAATTTAAAGCAGTGGTCGGCACCGATTCGCGGGCCATTAGTTGGGAACTCTGAAGGTAATAATTAATACGACTATTTAAATATTTCATTTGCAATAATCATTATGCTACAAACTGGCAGTCATTTTACCAACAAGCAGTAAGCTTTCTTTTCAAAGCATCCTTGAGCACGCTCAACTTAAGTTACATAAGAAAAATTCAATACTTCACTCACAATAGGTCACTGACGTCATTGCGTTGTTGTACTGGGTAAAAACAGCCGAATCCTATTCCTGCAGAGTTCTTAACTTCCTTCCGTGTATGACCACGTAATATGTAAAGTCTGACTGTCAGTTGTTACCCTCAATAACCTAGCCAGATTTTATATTTTGATCAAACTCGTTACGACGGTCATCGTTAAAAAATCTTGGCAGTTAATGCAGGGTCATTAAATTACCAACGATCCATTCGCCCTAAACCCACTCTTTACGACCCGACTACGTTCAAATCAACAAATTTGTACTAAAATTTCACTTTGTACGATTCAGCTCGGCTGAATTCCTACTTCAGTGCAAAGTCGCCTGCATTTTCCACAAAGGCTGTCAGATCTGAGGTTATCACGGCGGTCGATGTTGGTGTTGTAGGTCGTAACTCCATCTGGAGTTATATATAGGTAGGTACCGACGTTTCGGAATAAAACATTCTGTATCAATCTCAGGGCTGAGGTTCACTACGTACTTTGAACCTTGCCCTACAAATATTTTTATTGAACGAGAGAAAAACCGGCTTCTTGTTGCTGAGGTCATTAAAATGCCATTATTTTATAACATACGGAAATAATCTAAAAGGTCTCAAATAATAATCGTCGAGTACAAGGCTTTGGCTCTCAGAGGGCTGTTACGCCACGGATTATTATTATTACAAGGGTTGACCCTTCCCGATTCCAGGATAAGACAAACTGATTCCCCCATCTCTGCAATGGTATTTTCCCTTTTGGATGGCAATCGATCAATTTCAGGGGAATTCGATGAGCTCGTTTATTTTTTACATAGGATTAAAAACTAAGTGACATACTTCAAATAATTTAAAAAAAACACAGAGAAATTAAACTTACAGCATATGAAAAACTCTAACGCATTTCACGGAACTCCAGCGGTCATAAATATTATGGAATGGAACCGATGTCGACGGCTGCGCTCCTGATGGCCATGGTTGGAGTTATATCACTTGTTTCGCATGCACAGAAAGGTTTTTAAATTCTGTAGGATTTGAGGGTCAGCTGCCCAATAAGATCTTTTCATTATCATGTGCCTGATAAGACTACGAATTATCGAATTGATTTGTTTACGTCCATATTACGCCAGATGATGACACCAGCAACGTGTAACTTGCTGCCTTCTACAATAACTGTGATTCTATCTAATGATCATGCCTGAAACGAGTGGCACATAATCACAGAGTTTCATATGGGGAACCACTTACGTGCAAATTTATGATGGACATTCAGCAGGCGATACTAATTATGCAACGTAATTAACGTAAAATGGACTTACACGCTATGAAACTCGTATGAAAATAAACAAAACATTAAGGTACTTTAAACCCACAAATTTATTGATACAAGGCACA